AAAATCCAATGAACGCGAAAAAGGCACTGTAAACAAAGACACGCTGCGCATGAACTATACGTCCGGCAGGTGTCAGTAAGTAACCAATAGATTCGTGAGGCTTTACTGTTGACGTTTCTGTCCGGTAGAGGTCGCTCGAACACTATGGCGCGAAGATATAACGTAGGCCCGATACTTTCCGGACAGACCTCGTACTTGCAAATGGAGTAAGGTAAGGCAAGCTTAGCTCGCAGGCTATCTCGAGAAACTGCGCTCTTTTGTTAGACCGAAGCCGCTTATAAAGGTTAAGTGAGGGCGCTGCCAGCAAACTGAGGGTTCTGCCTACAAAGTGAGGGCGCTGCTAGCAAAGTGGTAGTATATGGAAGGGATATCTAAAACGAAAGAGTGGGGGTGAACCGACTGTAGCACCATCTAACTTATTAATCTAGTATTAAAGGGTTTATATATAGATCTTCAGAATAAAAATATAGTCATTATTGCTTTGAGATACGATTCAGTTCACATATAGAGAATAATTGAATTTATACTCTAAGATGAACTACATTTTAGATATTCAAGGCTTTCAGAGTCCTAATAATATTTTTATTTGTAAGGAGTTTGCCTATTTACCAGTATGTTCTAATACTTTACCTCGCGCGTGGAGATTCACTACATTAGGCACACCACCTTTAGTTCTTGCCTATCTCTTAACATTACAAGGTTGAAAATCAATTTTTCTACTTGCCCATAATAAAATATCAAAATTGACATTTTGACGAAGAGATTGAATCGTTTCGAAATTCAATATTTTTGAAGAAAATATTACAGTCCCATACTTTGAGCATCTCTTAGTTAATTAATAAAAATATCTCGGTACTAATTAATAGATTCCATTGCATAGAGTACCATTTTTATAGAATCATAAAAGCTTTCATTTAGTACGAATAAAAATTAAATATAATTATTTTTGTAATAAATATTCGACATATTAACAACTACATGTTAAACATGGGACTATTCGATTACTTTCTGCACTTTTTGCACTAACTAATAAACGAAAAGAATCGCTTTATGAATCAAATTGTAGCTTTCATAATTTTCTACAACTTTTATGTTACACTTTTTCATGTATAAGAGTGGGTCAATAAGTACTTAGAATAATCAAGAGATGGCGCACGAGGTATCACAACTTATGTTGATATAGCAAGCGTCACTTCGAATTACATTGCTGTCAAAGTTTCAGCCAGATCTATCAAATTCCGTTTTTATTGTCAATCAAATTGAACATCTTTTGCTGATCCTTCAAAAATGGTAACAAGTGAGTTCCGAGCGGTGACATTTCTTTTTAAAACATTTTTATTTAAAAGGCCTTACACTGAAAGAAATCAAAGCTGAGTAGATGCAGTTCATGGCATATCAACCCTTGTATTTGCAACTGTTTGCAATTGAGTAAGTTAATTTTAATATGGCCGTACATCAAGATAGGATGACGTATTTACTCACAGTGGAGAATAAACGCAGAATTGTGGTCACCGCTAAGGCTCTTTTGGCGCGCATCAACCGTAATCCGGACGATATTTTATAACGATCCATAACTGTGTGTTAAACATTAATATACCACTGTACTCCCAAGACAAGGGAACAGTCAAATCAGTGGATTGTTATAGATGAACAGGCCATAGAAAGGCAAAGACAGTTATCTCAGCTGGCAAGCTTATGGCTACTGTTTTTTTGGGATACACGTGGAATCATCTTCATCGACTATTTCAAAAATGATGAATAACATAGGCCGATAGCCGAAAAAACCTAGAACCGTGACTAGATGTACGAGAATTAAATTAAATAAAATAAAATTAAATTAAATTAGCCTCGTACCCGAAGGCTTTTGATCCGCTGATTCTGAATCCGGTATCAGAATGGAGCAATCACGTGAAGTTCTTGAGATATCTTAACCTAAAAGTGCAAAAACACTGTTTTTGGCTAACTTTGAGATTATGTAACACACTCAATAAATTTTTTTTTTCAATCGGTCGACGGCATCTTCAAGAAGAATTCTTAAGCTTTCAAAATCTTTTTTCATATCTGAAAAATCTCTTTTTTCGTTACGATATCGTCGATTGAAATTTAGCATTAACCATTTAGCCAGTAAGTTGGAATGGTTGGACACATTTCTCAGCCCTTATTCAGAAATATTTCTATTAACAAAAATCAATGAACGGTATATTGAATTACTATTTCTCATTAGTATTGCAAATTTCATTTATTTAAACAATAATTTATAACAAGATTTTTCAAAATAGAGTTTTATGATCATTAAAAAAAATCAAATTCTACGAAATAAAATCATCTACGAACCATTAACAAAACACATTTAATTCTGAGAAAAATTCTAAATGCTTAACTTTGCTAACTCTACACGTCTTAAAAAAATCTTAGAACTGTAAGACTTTACATCTAAATTTCCTAAACCCGCAAACTCAGTACCCTGCGACGTCGTAAACCCAAGACCTCACATCATGATTTCCTAAACCTACAAACCCTGTACCCTGCGACGTAGTAATTTCGAAACGTTGAACCCGTAGTTTTTTCAACTAACTAGCCCTATAAACCTGCGACGCAAGACTCCGAGATACTACACCCCATGTTTTTCAACCCACAATCTATTACTCTGCAACGTAATGGATTCGAGACGGTACACCATAAATTCCGTAATCCACGACTCATTTACCCAGTGTCCCAATACCCTGGGACACTATATCCTACGTTGTTTACCTCCCCCCCCCCCCCACCCCCACATAACATATATTTTGCAACGGAATACACTTACACATCCCCAGAAGTACTGTAACCCAAGAGCCTCGAATCTTTCGACACCATCACCTCGACACGCTACCGCCAATGTTCCTTAATACGTGAGTCTTAAACTCGGCGACGCAGTCACCTTGAGCCGTCAGGCTCACGCGTTAAGGAACATCGGGGATAGCGTGTCGAGGTGATGGTGTCGAAAGGTTCGAGGCTCTTGGGTTACAGAACTTCTGGGGGATGTGTAAGTATATTCCGTTGCAAAATATATGTTATGTGGGGGAGGGGGGGGGGGGTAAACAACGTAGGGTATAGTGTCTCAGGGTATTGGGAAACTGGGTAAATGAGTCGTGGATTACGGAATTTATGGTGTACCGTCTTAAATCCATTACGTTGCAGAGTAATAGATTGTGGGTTGAAAATAATGGGGTGTAGTATCTCGGAGTCTTGCGTCGCAGGTTTATAGGGCTAGTTAGTTAAAAAACTACGGGTTTAACGTTTCGGAATTACTACGTCACAGGGTACAAGGTTTGTGGGTTTCAGAAATTTTTATATGAGGTCTTGGGGTTACGGTGTCCCAGGGTACTGAGTTTGTAGGTTTAGGAAATTATGATGTAAGGTCTTACACTTTTAATATTTTTTTAAGACGTGTAGAGTTAGCAAAGTTAAGCATTTAGAATTTTTCTCAGAATTAAATGTGTTTCGATAATGGTTCGTAGATGGTTTTATTTTGTAGAATTCGATTTTTTTTAATGATCACAAAAATCAATTTTGAAAAATCTTGTAAGTTATTGTTTCAATAAATGAATTTGCAATACTCAAGAGAAATAGCAATTCAATATAATGTTAATTTAGTTTTGTTAATAATAATATTACTGAATAAGGGCTGAGAAATGCGTCCAACCATTCCAAATCACTAACTAAATGGTCAAAATACTAAATTAGAATCGACGATATCTCAACGAAAAAAAAAAGTTTTTTCAGATCTGAAAAAAGATTATGTAAGGTTAAGAATTCTCCTTTAAGATGCCGTTGATCGATTAAAAAAAATTTATTGAGTGTGTTACATAATCTCAAAGTTAGCCAAAAACAGTGTTTTTTGTACTTTTAGGTTAGGATATCTTGAGTACTTGACGTGATGGTTCCATTCTGATACCGGATTCGGAATCAGCGCATCAAAAACCTTCGAGTATATTTAATCACGATTATAAATTTTTTCCATTTTGAAATTTTGTCGGCCTGTTTAATCATCGGAGAATATTATGCGACATCATTGGACGGGTTAAGTGAGGAAATATAGGATAATCGTTCTCATTTGAACACAAAAAAACCTTTGTATATTTTTTTTACAAAATTCTTGCTTCTACGTATTCATGAGGATTTTTGCTATCGAAATTAATCATAAAATTCAAGAGCCCGACATATCGGAAGGCATAGCCCTAGTCAAAAGAAGATGCCTCGGTGTACGAGTACATCGCAACGGCAGCGGGACGTCTTCGTGGTTTTACGCTGAGGCATTTTCTTCTAATTAGGGCTACACCTTCCGATATGTCGGGTCCTTGAATTTTATGATTGATTTCGATAACAAAAATTCTCAGGAACACGCAGGAGCAAGAATTTTTCAAACAAAAAATATACTTTTTGAGATATTAGCAATTATATAAACAAAAAGTTAATAACTTTCGAAAAAATTTTTTATTGTTTATTGCTGTAATTATTTCGATATTTTAAGGCATTATAAGTATTATGAAAAAAATCCGACTTCGATGTCTTTATTAGTTTTTAAAATATAGCCGTTTGAAAATTTTTTATCATTTTTCTTTAATTGTTAATAACTTTTGATATAATTAATGTATCGACATCAAAATTTGGGAAAAGTCTCACTTTCATGTGTACAACAATTGTGCCAAATTAAAAAAAAATCCGACTTATAACCTAAGGGTTATAAGTCAATCGAAATAGCCAAGAATAACCCAACCCAACCCATATAATTATCTTTATTCATACTTCATACATTTTAAATAGTCGAGATATAATTTAAATTTTATTATATTAGATGTTGCAAATTTGATAATATTTATGTAGAAGAAAAACTGTATATAATCCAAAAAAAATGTTTGGGAAATACATAGCTTTCCACAGCAAATAGTGTAAACGGAAATAATTAAAATAACTATAATAAATTAAATAAATAAGAATATGCAATAATCAGAAAAGATTAAATAGAATAAGAACATTTTTATTACTTTATTAAACATTGGTATCAATTATCAAGAAAATAAATAGGTATTTTTAAATCTGTTGTAAATTTTAAAGTAAAGTTTATAGGCTATTTAAATTTAAGTTTTCGTCTTCTGATGTATCAGTTTCGTCATCATTTTCACTAAGGACTGCAAATATTTTTTCATACTGTAGAATTCGATCTAACAGGAATTTAGTATCTCTATTAGTTTTTAAAAGTTGGCGTTGAATAGATCTAAGCGTTTCATGAAGGCACTCGTTTTCCTGAAAATCAAACAATTATATTAAAATAAAGACAAAGTAAAGTAAAAATTATCAATCGTACAGTTATGATAAACGTATTCTTAAATTCGCTAAATCAATTTAAATCCGTCGTAAGTTCAACCAATGAAAATAGACGCTAATGCAAGGTTAGGTCAATGTATAAGTGGTTGTAGTTTCTCCTTGGCGTTGGGATGGTGCGTGTATGATCTAGAATGTGGAGTGGACTGGAAGGCAGACCTACTTCCTATATATGTATATATTTATGTGTTCCAGGGAATGAATGGATGACCGTGTAAGAGTAACTATATTTATTGTCAATGATACAGGTCTTCACACGAAGACGATCCGTGAAGAAATAAAGAAACGTTCTCTCGCTCTACGCTACGGCGCTCGCTAACCCTTCTCCTCTAAAGAGAGAGAGATGAAACATGGCATACCCTACACACCCCCCCCCCCCCCCGGAGAGATGTTATCGTAAAATGAATGATAACACTGAATACAAATTGAATTTGTTTTTTTACAATGGATAAGAGAAACTTAAATCTAGAGTAATGCTTAAAATTAAAGTAGAACAATCAGGCTCAATGATTAAGGGTAAAACTTCTTTACATTTGCGAGTCAGCAGCGAAAGTGACTTTTTTCTTACGCGAATAAGTTTTTGGCGCAGATTGACTAGTTGAAGGCTGATTGCCTTGATTATCGCTATTTACATCTAAATTATCGAGATCATCTGGTAAAAAGAAAGCGAGTTTTATTAATTCTACAGAAACGCTACATTTATTACCATTTACATCAATATCAAAAACACCGTCAGACGGACGGTTTAATACTTTATATGGACCATTGTACGGTCTTTCGAGCGATTTTTTAGTCGTATTTTTTAAAAATAAATGAGTACAAGAGTACAAATCTTTAAATACGAAAGCGTATTTTTAATGCTTGTGCGTTACGGGAACTGGACGAATTAAACGCATGTGCTCGCGAAATTCTTCGATGAAAATGTTTGGATCAGGAGTAGAATCTTCTGAGAGGAAAAACTCGCCAGGCAAACGAAGCGTTATACCAAACATAAATTCTGCAGGGGATGCATTTGTATCAGCGCGAACATGACAGCGAAGACCGAGTAAAATCGTAGATAACGTGTGGTTCCAGTCAGTGTCCTGATGACACATAATAGCGGCTTTTAAAACACGGTGCCACCTCTCGATTAGACCGTTCGCCGCTGGATTGTAAGCGGTCGTGCGAATTCGTTGACAACCCATTAAAGATAGTAAAGCCATAAATAAACTGTTAGTATACAACGAAAATATGCACATACACAAACAGATGACACAGATGTACTTCAGCCCCATCAGTCCCTTTTGACCTGGACTTTATTACCCCAAGGAAGGAAGGCCCGAGCCCACGCCAACGCTAGTTAGTCCGAGAGTACCGCTCATCCAGTGCAGAGCTTCTCTCTTATATACTTTATATTACTTTCATAAGAAATGTATTGATTACGCTGTGTGTTCTACCATTTAATAAAGTATTCATATAAATATAAAACACGTAACCTTTATTTCGCCTACAGGTTATGGGCCCAGGATTCGATACATTTCATAAAGGTTAAATGAAAGGACAGTTAAAAGTGCAGTGTTAGCATTAAAGTGAAGTTTAAGTGAATAATATAGGACATACGGAAAAATGGCAGAAAGCTCAGGATTTAAGTGCTCTTTCCAGAAGCTCAATGGCGAAAACCACGCCGTTTGGAGTTATAAAATGGAGCTTTTGTTGACAGATCAAGACTTATGGGATATCGTCACAAAGGAAAAGCCTGAAAAACAAGATGATATTCCAGCATGGGAAAGGAGTGACAGTAAGGCGCGCGTGAGAATTGGTCTATCGATAGAGGATGATCAATTAATTCACATAAGGAGCGCTGATACAGCAAAAGCGGCTTGGACAGCTCTCAAGGAATATCATCAAAAAGCAATTTTGACTTCAAAAGTGTTGGTGTTAAAAAGGTTGTGCCGTACAGTTCTCACTGAGGATGGTGATATGGAAGCTCATATTGCGGCTTTTGCGCATACAGTTAATCAATTGACGGCTCTTGGAACTACGTTGGACGACAGTTTATTGGCAGCGATGCTGCTGGGAAGTCTTCCGGAATCATATGACACGCTTGTCACAGCTTTGGAAAGCAGGCCCGAAAAGGATATCACCTCGCAACTTATCAAAAGCAAGTTGATTGATGAATTCAAGAGGCGAAAGGGGCAAAAGGATTTAAGGGATAATATCGCGGCAAGCGAATCAGCAATGAAAACCACATACGGAAATAGTGGACAGAATAAAAGTAATTACAGTGGCCAACAGGAAAAGTGTTGTTTCTTTTGCAAGAAGCCGGGCCATATGAAGCAGGCTTGTGAAAAATTTAAAAGTTGGAAAAGCAAGAAGGGAAATAAAGCAAATGCAGTGAAGGAAAACTCAACGGTCACCGATGCAAAATTATTCATGGCTGTGGAAAGTGAGTGTACAAAGCAGCAAACAGACTGTATTGAATATGCGCGTTTTAGTGTGAGAGAAAAGAAAAATTATAAGGACACATGGTTTATCGACTCAGGGGCAACGAACCATATGACGAACTCAAAGGATTTTTTCACCGATTTCGACCCAGCTGTAAAAGGTTTCGTGAGGCTGGCCGACGCTGAAAAAGTGAGTGAAATAAAAGGAAAAGGCTCGGGTGTCATAAAGTGTTTAGTCGACGGAAAGAAAACTGAACTGAAAATTAAGGACGTGCTTTACGTGCCATCATTTGAATCGAATTTAGTGTCCGTGAAGAAACTTGACAAGGTCGAGGGATATAAAATTCAAATCGATCGTGGCATCTGCACAATGATAAAAGACGGAGAAAAGAAAGCAGTAGCAAAATGTGGTCTGAACGTAGATGATTTGTACGAGGTACAAACGGCCAACGAAAGATCTTGTGCAGCAATAAAGATTGAACACGGAGAAAACTGTCAACATATTTGGCACAGACGCTTCGGGCACCGGAATATTGGTGCAATTAAGGATTTAGTCGAGAAGCAATTAGCGATCGGCATTCAGATTACGGACTGCGGAAGGCGTGAGGTATGCGAGTGCTGTGAAAAAGGAAAAATGACCCGCCAGCCCTTTCCGAAGAAGTCCCATCATAAAACTCAGGCTATACTCGATCTCGTCCATACAGATGTTTGCGGGCCAATGCAAACTGCGACGCCGGGCGGGAAAAGGTATTTATTGACCCTCATCGACGACTACTCAAGATATACAACGGTATATTTGTTGAAAACAAAGGACGAAGTGGGAGCCCACATAAAGCAATTTGTCCAGCTAATGAAAACGCAGTTTGGAAAAACTCCAAAGTGTGTAAGGTCCGATCGAGGAAGGGAGTATGTCAATAAAGCGTTGCACGATTTTTACGCTGAAAATGGAATTAAGAATCAATTTACAGCAGGCTACTCACCGCAGCAAAACGGAGTTGCTGAACGAAAGAATAGATCACTTGTGGAAATGGCAAGATGCATGCTGATCGATGCAAATATGGACAATAAGTACTGGGGTGAAGCCGTAAGTACAGCAAATTTTCTGCAGAATCGTTTGCCAACAAGAGCCACCGATAAAACTCCATATGAGTTATGGCACAACGAAAAGCCTTTGGTGAAAAATTTGCACATTTTCGGAAGTAAAGCGCTTGTACATGTGCCGAGGGAACTCCGAAAGAAGCTCGATTCAAAATCAGAAGAGCATATTTTTATTGGTTATTCCGAAGAATCTAAAGCATTCAGATTTATTAATGCGACAACAGGAGCACTCAAGATTAGTCGCGACGCCACATTTTTCGATGGATACTTCGATGGAAAACAGAGTCATGCGGATGCAAAGGCGGATGCCAATTCAAATATAGAATATGTTTTCCAGAAAGAAAATAATCAAGAAGAATTGATTAATCAACAATCGACTCAAGAAATAAACAGTGAAGAATCATCGGGTTCAAGCGAAGCTGAAGAGATGCCAGGGACAAGCGACGACGCGCAGCTGGACAGAATCGACGACGCAAGTGCGGAGATTAGCGGCGACGCGCCAGCAGTAGCAGACATACAAGAAGCCTCCGTAAGGCGTTCTGCTAGGAATAATAAAGGAGTCCCGCCCGATTATTATATGGAAACTTCAAAGCTGGCATCAAGTTCACATGGAGATCCGAAGAATAGGAATGAAGCGTTATCACAGCCGGATAGAAATGAATGGATAAAGGCAATGGATGAAGAACATAACGCGTTACTGCAGAATAATACGTGGAAGATCGTGCCTGCACCAAAGGATCAAAATATCGTCACGTGCAAGTGGATTTTCAAGACAAAAAGAAATGAAGAAGACGGAGCAAGCAAGTATAAAGCTAGACTCGCCGCACGCGGTTTTTCACAGAAGTTCGGCACAGATTATGACGAGGTCTTTGCACCTGTCGTAAAACAGTCTACCTTCAGGCTTTTGCTCGCCATCGCAGGTAAAGAAAATTTATTGGTCAAGCACTACGATGCGAAGAATGCATTTTTAAATGGCGATCTCAAGGAAATTATATACATGAAGCAGCCAGAAGGATACAAAATAAAGGACAAAAATGGACAGGCATTCGTTTGCAAACTAGAAAAGGGGCTTTACGGTCTAAAACAAGCAGCAAATATATGGAACAACAAATTGGATTTAGTTCTGAAGAGCAACGGATTTATACAGAGCGATGCTGATCCATGCCTGTACATAAAAAGAGAAAATAGCAGTGTTGTGTACGTGATCGTTCATGTAGACGATTTTTTGATAGCCGCTAAAGGCCTCTCAGCTATCAATGAGACAGCAGCAATTTTGCAAGAAAAATTCAAGATGACTGATCTGGGAATTTTACAGAGATATCTCGGAATAGATATCAGCAAGAATAGCAATGGTTTTTACTGCATAAAGCAAACAAAATACATCGAGGAAATTTTAAATAG